GTATGGTACTATCTGCACCCTTTCCCTGGGCTTTCATTCCCAGACCTCAACTTCACATTTACCTTGGAATCATACGATATAGAACTTGAAGAGGCCTTAGAGATCATCTCTTCAGCCGTGTCATTTCTCCTTTTGTCCTGTTGAGTATCTTCTTTTCCATCTGCTCTTCAGTGGAAGTCACTGGAACGCTGCTCCATTTCTGTACACATTTGGGTGATTTCCCATTCTTTCTGTCCCTTCCTGTAGCTTTCCACTGTCTTTGCCTTAATTTATTGGGAACATTGCCATAAACATAGGCAATAATTGGGAGACAATTTTGACAAGAGATGGCAATATAGTGAATGGGAAGAGAGTTGAATTTGGAATCAGTGAGCCTGATCTTGGATCCTGGCTCAGCCACTTAATACACATGAGACCATGAGCAATTCGATCACTTTAGTTCTCAGTTTCCTCATTTGTAAAATGAGGGAGCTGGACAAGATGATGTCTGTGGTCCTTTCCAACTCTAAATTTATGATACTAAGAATCCTAATTTCATAAGTCAGTTTGGTAGTAGGGAGGACAATTTTCTAGATACTTATGAATCCACGCTGTGTAAGAAAGACAGCTATCCTCATTTGGGAATTTCAGGTGAGGATTTACTCATGTTTCTTTCTCCTTCAGCTCTTCCTACTCGCTAGATTCCTACCTTTCCCAAAGAGAGGATTCAAGAAGACCAGGTGAAGGTGGTCATGCCTCTGATGGCCAGGGTCTTGGTGAGTTGTGGCTCCCTCTGGCCTTCCTAAGATCCTATGTAGCATATTTCCTCATCTTGAGGTTTCTCAGTCTAATAACAGCCCACCTCAATGTGTGATCCTCATACTAGATAGCATCTTTCACATAGGGTGCTCTCTTGATTTCCCCATATAGACAATCCCGCCTTCATGATGTTGCTTCTGTATCTCATGCAGAAACTGATAGATCAGGTTGTCCCTGGCATAGCAGGAACATGTTGCAGGAGTTGGTGACATCTGAGGATGTGGCTGTGTACTTCACCCAGAAGGAATGGGCAGATCTGGCCCCAGCTCAGAGGGCTCTATACAGGGACGTGATGTTGGAGAGTTATGGGAACCTAGCTTCCCTGGGTAAGGCCTCTCTGCCCCTGTAACTTGGGAACTATGCACTGGGGTATGTTTGCTTCAAGTTCCTTAGTACCTGTAGAAACAGCTGTGTGTTGGCTTGGCAGTCATAATGTTAGGGTATGATTGAGTATGTGTCATGTGGAAGAGAGATTAGACTTGTTCTACTTGTCCACAGAGGGCAGAGTTATGCAGTAAGGGAAAGTTACAGAAAAGCAGATTTCAGCAAGTCATGGAAAAAATTTCCCAATTATAATTCTCTCTAAAAATGGAATTGGCTGCCACCAGAGATCTTGGCTTCCTCATTAACCAGAGATCTTCAGTCAAAAGATGGATGACCATTTGTCAGAGATGTCATAGAGGTGACATCTGTTTTGGTGTAATTTGAACTTGATGTCCTATGAGGCTCCTTCCAGGTTTAAAGTTATGCATGTTATTTAGGTGCATGTCAGAAGGGCTTTTCAGTATAGCTCGTAAATGACCAGTACCAGTAAAGTTGGAAATAGCACTTCACGTGTGATGGAAGCCTTTCAAATTCCATTGAAAAAATAAACCTTCATCTTAAAAGCTTGTGCTGAAGTTTAGTAACAAAAGCAACCCAGGCATTTCCCTGCAGAAAGAATTGTTTCTAGTATTTAGAAAAATGTATCAATATGCAGAGACAGGAAACAAGAATGAAAGAAGACTTAATCAAATAAGATATGTTTTTATTTGATGAACATAGTTTGCATTTTTATAATGCTGTAAGGAATTTGATATTGATAATTTTACTCATTATTTGATTGTTTTGTTGATGTGCATTAAATTTATAACAAAATTACATTTAAAGTGATGAGCAAAGGATAGTTAGAACAGCTGATAAATTATTCTGGCATCATCAGTCCAAGTGGATAGCAGGACTAAATATGAATATTCTCAGGCCAAATTACCTTTTCTCCTGCTCATGTTGCTATGTCTTTGTCTCATTTTTCTTCCTTCCTCATGTCTTTTCCCTTATTTCCTTTTTTGATCTTTTCTTGTGTCTTTTACCAGAATTGAAGTACACAAACACACATATGTATTTCAGTTGTATAATAATAGTTATTTCTTCTGTTTAAATGTGAACAATAGCAATATATATATGTAATACATAGACTTTATATATATACTGTATATATAATACATATATACTTTAGTTATATAATAGTTATATATAGCTATTATTTTGTTTAAATTTGCTTTTATTTTTTGTGGCTCTCACTTTTGTTTTTTCAACATCAGTAACTTTTGAAAGAAAAAAATTCTCCTAGGAGAGGTGATGTTTTCTTACTATTGTTTGAACTTCCTAATACCCTTGACAAAGAGACAACAAAAAGGGAATTATAATTCTAAGGCCAAATCATCCCAACTTCTTTGCCTTAGCCTTTCAGTGGGCATTATCTTGAACCACCCACATAGGAACCCATATACCTTTTTCTCTCTATCTTCCTTTGGTATTTCCTTTCTTCCTGTGTGCAGGAAAACTAGGCTGACTACACTGAATCTTAGGGGAAGTTTTGTGTGTTTCCATTCTTCATTTGATCCTATTTTCTTCCCCTGCAGCAGAACTTCCATTTCCAAAACCTGCTGTTATCTTCCATCTAGAAAGAAGGGAAGGGCCATGGGAGCTGAACTTGCTGGGAGCTCTGGGGAGAGAGAGCCTAATAAGTGTATGTACAGGTGAGAAAGAACCTGCCACATAACTCCATTGCCAAATGTAACCTTTATCCTTTAATAATTGATAAACTAATACATCATTGAGGGCTTCACTGTCTGCTGTGCCTCAAGGTATCATGAAGAAATACCTTCTAGAAACTTTGATATACTTCATAGAAATGAAGAAAATGGGGGAAAACTTTCATAGACAATCTCTCAGATAGAATGTGATTGGGTTGAAATATTGCTGTGGTGTAGGAAACGATGAACTGGTTGATTTAGAAAAACATGGAAAGATGCTATCCACCTTCAGAGAAACAGATGACAAGTGGAAATAAACATGTTACATATATATATATGAGTATATATATGCATATATGCATAAGTTTATAGATATCTCTATATATGTGTGTATGTGTGTATATATATGTATATACATATATTTTTATATATGTATATGTATATACATATATTTTTATATATGTATATGTATATACATATATTTTTATATATGTATATGTATATACATATATTTTTATATATGTATATGTATATACATATATTTTTATATATGTATATGTATATACATATATTTTTATATATGTATATGTATATATCTCCTTAATTAATTGTAGCCTTGTTTGGGTGGGGAGGAGGAAGAGGAAAAAAATAAAGTAAAAAGTACACAGCAGAAGCAAAAGAAAATCTACAAGGAAGCAAAGAAAAGTTGGACAGCTTTGAGAACAACATATAGTATTTATTATATAGGTTTTCCTGAAATGGAAATTTATTGTTTTATCTTGAATCCTCTCTTATGTTCTGCTGTATACATGGCAATGTCTTTTTCTTATTTTGTATTTAAGTTTAAAATAAATTTTAAAAGTTACCAAAAAAAGTTAGTTGAAACAATAAATAATTTAGCAAAGAAAAAAAGGGAGAGAAAATGAAGGAAGCCATTCTTTTATTTTTTCAACTTCTAGGATTTAGGCAACATTGCCCAAATACCCCTGACCATCATGACAAAAGAAATGAAATTCACTTACTCTTCTTGTTTCCTCTCAGAAATGTATTTGTTGAAAACTGGGGGCAGAAACTATATTTTTAAGAAAACTGCTATTGCTAGGGAGTAGCAGAATAATTGCAAAAAAAACTTTACCTTTCTCCTAGTTACAATTCCTACTTCCTTGGTCATGCTTGTTTATTCCTTCCAAGCAGGGACTTCTTTTTTTCCTTGACAATATTTGATTCTTTTCCACAATCCTTAATTCTCCTTTTCATTCACCTTAGTATGCTTCCTTCATTTCCACTTTTCACTTTAATTGGCCCACAGTGCTTTTACATATTTATATAGTTGTAGATATATAGATATACACACATGCATATGTATGTATGTATGTATATATCCATGTGTGTATACATACAAATATACTCAGTATATACTAAGTATGTGTATATATGTATATGTGTGTACGCACACACACACATGCTCAATCTGGCCTTTCTCCTTTCTTTGAACATATGTCTTTGCACTGTCCTTTTGTGCAACTTTCCTTCTTTTGATTTCACATTCTGCAAAGTAAAAAAGCTTGAAACTGGCACTTTCCCCACTGCCACTGCAATAGGCAGTCTTTTCACAGTTTACCATAATTATTAAGCCGTTTTCTAGATTTTGATTAAACTCCCTAATTAAAACTGGAAAAAGGTGACATTTGTATTTTTAATTTTATTTATCAGGATTCAGGACTACAACTGTAAATGATGAAAGAACCCAAAAGCAGGGAATTTCTGAAGAAGTAAAATTCCAGGAAATAACAGCTAAAGGACTCCAAAGAAATATTTTGCTGGTACCTGAATTAGGAAAAATCTATGAGTGGGAGAAAAGATTAAAAGAGCAACAAAGAAATAAAAAGTGGAAGAAAGCAAGAAAAGAAGAGCAAGATTTCATACACTGCATAGTTAAAGATAAGACCCCCAAAGAAGAAAGGGGTCAAAAATGTGAGGAGTTTGAGGAAGGCTTCAATTTCAGTTCTAATCTTGTTACAAATCAAAGAATTTCTAGAGGCCAGAGAGACTATGAGTATGAAGCACATGAAACACAGTTCAACCAGAGTCTTCATCTTGTCAGCCGTAAGAAAATTCACAGTAGCAAACATCCATATAAATGTAATGATTGTGGGGCACTCTTCAGTTACTGGTCTCGCCTGCTAGTACATCAGAGAATGCATACTGGGGAGAAACCCTATGAGTGCAGTGAGTGTGACAAAGCCTTCACTAATAAGAGCAACCTTGTTGATCATCAGAGGATCCACAGTGTGGAAAAACCATATGAATGTGATGATTGTAGGAAGACTTTCTTTTTGAGGAAAAGTTTCATTGGGCATTAGAAGGTCCACAACTGGGAGAAAGCATATAAATGTAATGAGTGTGATAAGATCTTCAGTTGCAGATCAAAACTTCTGGTACATCAACTGGGGAGAAACCCTATGAATGTGATGATTGTGATAAAGCCTTCACTAGTAAGAGAAACCTTCTTGATCATCGAACAATCCATACTGGGGAAAAACCCTATCGGTGTAATGAGTGTGGAAAATTTTTCAAACATAGCTCAGTTCTTATTTGCCATCAGAGGATCCATACAGGGGAAAAGCCTTTTGAATGTAAGGAATGTAACAAAACCTTTGCTACTAAAAGCAACCTTGTTGATCATCAGAGAATCCACACTGGAGGAGAACCCTATGAATGCAATGATTGTGGGAAATCTTTCATTTTGAAGAAGAGTTTTATTGGCCACCGGAGACTCCATAATAGGGAGAAATCTTATAAATGTAATGAGTGTGAAAAGGCATTCAGTTACAAATCTAGTCTTTTGATACATCAGCGAATCCACACTGGGGAGAAGCCCTATGAATGTAATGAATGTGACAGAGTCTTTGCTAATAAGAGCAACTTCACTGATCATCAAAGAATCCACACTGGGGGAAATCCCTACAAATGTAGTGACTGTGGGGTAATGTATATTTTGAGGAAAAGTTTCATTAGACATCAGAGACTACACAATACAGAAAAATGTTATAAATGTAGTGAGTGTGAGAAAATATTTAGTTACCGATCCAAACTTCTTGTACATCAGCGAATTCGCACAGGAGAGAGAGCTTTTAAATGTAATAATTGTGACAAAGCCTTTACTCATAAGAACAATCTCGTTGATCACCAGAGAATCCACACTGGGGAGAAACCCTTTAAATGTAATGAGTGTGGGAAGACTTTCAAACGCAGCTCACATCTTACTTGCCATCAGAGGATCCATACTGGAGAGAAACCTTATATGTGTAATGAGTGTGGAAAAGCCTTTGCTACTAAACCAAATCTTATTGGCCATCAGAGAATTCATACTGCAACAAAGCCATATGAATGTATTAAATGTGGGAAAGCCTTTAGACATAGCCAAAAACCTTACTGCACATCAGAAAATTCACACAAGGGAGAAAACTTTAAAATATTATGAATAAAGCATGCATTCCATTCAGTTCTCAGGTCTTTCCCAGCTCTTATCTTTGTCTACCCCCCCCAATTTTTTAAAATTTAACTTTCATAAGAACAAATATTCAAACATGACCCAAAATAGAAAAAAAAATAAGTGTAAATATAAACACTGGTTATTTGTCTGTTCTTAGAGAAAAGTGAGTATAATAACTTAACAAAGTTGTAGTAATATCATCCTGCTCATTTCCATCACTACTATTTGGATTTAAAATGTTTTCAAAATTTTTTCTACTACCAAGCATTATATTTTCTTTCTCTGCTTCCCTTTCCTTTTGCAAAAAGAAAAAAAAACCCTTGTAAGAAATAAATGTATTCAAGCAAAACACATTCCCACACTGATCTTGTAATAAATGTATCATTCTCCTCAAGCCTGTTACCTCTTCATCAGTGTTCTGGAATTGTAATTGGTTGTTGCACTGAACAGGGTTTTAAGTCTTTCAAAGTTACTTTACAATGTTTTTACAATGTTGTGTAAATTGTTCTAGTTCTGTTCATGTCACTTTGTATCAATTCATATAAGTTCCCAAGTTTCTCTGAAACTTACCCTTGTGTCACTTCTTATGGCACTATGATGTTTCACTACATTTGTATAACAAAGTTTGTTTAATCTTAGCCCAAATGATGCCACTCCCCCATTTATCGATTGGAGAATGGCTTTTATTCTTGTAAGCTGTAATCAATTCCTTATATATCTTAGAAATGAGACCTTTATCAGAGAAGCATGCTGCAAAGATTATTTCCAGTTAACTAGCTCCATTCTTTCCTTATTTAAACTTAATTGACGAAATCCACTTCTTCCTACTATCTTCCCCTTCTGTCTGCCCCCAATCGGAAGATAAAGAAAAACAAAACCCTTGTAGCAAATATATAGCCTCATACTACATACATTCTGATTCCATCACCTCTTGGGAGGTAGGTAGCATGTTTCATCATGAGTCATCTGGAATCTTGGCTGTCATTGTGTTGATAAAAGTTTCCTGCCCTCTGTTTAGGCAGCTAGTTGGCACAGTGGATCATACAGAGTCTGGAGACAGGAAGACCTGAGTTCAAATGTGACTTTAGACATCCACCAGCTGTGTGACACCTGGGCAAGTCATTCAAACACTGTCTGCCTCAGTTTTCCCATATGCAAAATGGGGACAACAATATCATTGATGTCCCAGGGCCACTGTGAAGATAAAATGAAACATTTGTAAAATTATTTGCAAAGCCCAATATGCTACACCGATTCTAGCCATTGTTATTTTTAAAATCATTAATAAAGAAGATGGTGGAAAAAAATGGAAAGCGTTGAGTACCGTTGCTCTAGGTTTAAAGCATTTGGCTTCTCTGCTGTACTTCTTTGCCTCACTTAGAGCCCACTGACAGGTTTATATCTTTTTTTTAAACCCTTTTTAAGGGGCAGTTAGGTGGCACAGTGGATAGAGCTCCAGCCTTAGAGTCAGAAGGACCTGAGTTCAAATCCAGTCTGAGATGCTTGACACTTACTAGCTGTGTGACCCTGGGCAAGTCACAACCCAAATTGCCTCACTAAAAAACAACAACAAAAAAAAATTAAAACCCTTTTTATGATCTAACCTCCATGGTTAGAATTTGCTTTGCTTCAGACTAATCCCTCCCTTAATCTATTCTCTCTTGTTACCTTTTCTTCTGTATTTCCTAAATTTTGGGGAGGTAATATATTTTTGTACCTGTCTCTGTGTGTTCTTTTCTATTTTGACCAGTTATGATAGAAATAAAATTTATCACTTGCTCTCCCTACTGTTTCCTTAGGCTTGCTACTTGTGCATGCAAATTATAAGCTAATTTTCCCTGCTCTTCCTCTCCCTTGCTTCTCTCCAACCACAGTATTCAATCACTCTTTTTTTTGTTTTGTTTTGTTTTTAGGCAATTGGGGTTAAGTGACTTGCCCAGGGTCACACAGCTACTGAATGTCAAATGTTTGGTCTGAGGCTGGATTTGAACTCAAGTCCTCCTGACTTCAAGGCCAGTGCTCTATCCACTGTGCCACCTAGCTGCCCCAATCCTCTCTTTTTTAAATATCAAAACATAACAAAACCATTCCCAGGTTCTCTGTCTATGAGCCCCAATGACAGGATTCTTCGGAGACAAATATATCATCTCTCCATATTAGAATTTAAACAGCTCATCCTTGTTTAGTGCCTTATGATTGCTTGTTTATGTTTCCCTTGATGCCTGGGTTTGTATTTCGGAGTTTCAATGCTTTGAAGTTTTTATCAGGAATATTTAGAAAATTTTTTTATGTCCATTTTTTTTTCTTGTAAGATTAGGCTTTTTTCTGGGTAAGTAAAAGCCTATATCTTCTGTTTTCTGGAATATTTCAATCCCACCTTGTCCTTTACAGTGGTGGCTGCTAAGTCTTGTGTCATCCTGATTATGGCTCCTTGGTACTTGAATTCTTTGTTTCTGACTATTTGCAGTGTTCTTTTTTTTGTTTGTTTTATTTGTTTTTTTACTTGGAAGCTTTGATTTTGGCTATAATGTTTCTGGCAGTTTTTATTTTGGAGTTTTTTTCTGGAGGTGACTGTTGGGTTCTTTCCATTTCCTATACATTGCACATGATTTTCTATTTTGTTTTTGTACTAATATACATACAAATATACATATATATGTTGTTAACAGGATTTTTACTGAGCCAGCCTCTAACCTGAGAATTCTCAGAGCCATACAAAGCAGGCCTAGAGATGAGAGTGCCAGTAATCAAGTAGTTTAATTAATCAATTTCAGAGTGAGGAATATTCCCTTTGCTGAACTAAAAGCACAGATTATATACTTAAATCACAACTGAGGAGGGGGGGGTCGGCAGTGAATTGCCAACAATCATTTGGTGTTTTCCCAGGAGAAACCCATAAGTCCCATGATACAACAATTCTGGAGTCAAGTCTTTGAGGGTTGTGACCACTTCCGCTAAAGTACAGAACCAATCTTTGATTCCATTCATTTAAGGTCCTATGATTGTGAGCATTGTCAGCATTTTTTTGATTAAACAGTTTAAGCTGCATTGTGAGCTGACTCCCAAGCCAGAGAGGCAGCCCTTGAGAAAACTAAAGTATTAGTATATTCATTACACATATATTGATTATTATAAAAATTATAAATTCTCATCTCAATGTATACACACATACATACTTGGCTTAATTTCTTTTTAAAATTAAATTATATAATGGTTTATCAATTTGGTCTTTTAAAAACAGCTGTTTTATTACTTTTTTTGTTTGTTTTCAATTGCTTAGTCTACCACTGATTTTTTAAAATGTTTTTAAAAATTATGCTCTCAATTGGGAGAGCACGGAATGGTTTATTTATTAGATCTATGGAGAACAGAAGAATTAATGACCAAACAGGAGATAGAGAACATTACAAAAACCAAAATGGATAACTTTGATTACATTAAATTGAAAAGTTTTTGCACAAAGCCAATGCAACCAAGAAGGAAAGCAGAAAATTGGGAAAGAATTTTTACAACCAGTCTCCCTGATAAGGGCCTCATTTCTAAAATATATAGAGAACTGTCAAATTTGTAATAATACAAGTCATTCTCCAATTGATAAATAGTCAAAAGGATATGAACAGGCAGTTCTCAGATGAAGAAATTAAAGCCATCTATAGTCATATGAAAAAAATGCTCTAAATCACTACTGATTAGAGAAATGCAAATCAAAACAACTCTGAGGTACCACATCACACCTATCAGATTGGCCAACATGACAAAACAGGAAAATGATAAATATTGGAGAAGATGTGGGGAAATTGGAACACTAATGCATTGTTGGTGAAGTTGTGAAATAATCCAACCATTTTGGAGAGCAATTTGGAACTATGCCCAAAGGGCTATCAAAATGTGCATATATACCCTTTGACCCAGCAATAGCACTTCTAGGGCTGTATCCCAGAGAGATCATACAAATGGGAAAAGGACCCACATGTACAAAAATATTTATATATAGCAGCTCTTTCTGTAGTGGTAAAGAATTGGAAATTGAGAGGATGCCCATCAATTGGAGAATGGCTGAGCAAGTTGTGGTATATGAATGTAATGGAATACTATTGTGCTATAAGAAATGATGAGCAGGCAGACTTCAGAAAAACCTGGAAAGACTTGTATGGTCTGATGCTGAGTGAAGTGAGCAGAACTATGAGAACGTTGTACATAATAACAGTCATGTTGTGTGATGACTAACTTTGATAGACTTAGACTTAGCCCTCCTTGGCAATGCAAGGATTGAAGACATCTCCAAAAGTCTCATGATGGAAAATGCTATCCACATCCAAAGAAAGAACTATGGAAGTTGAATTGTTATCTTTTTTCTCTCTTCTGTTGAGTTTTGTTTCCTCTTTCTGACGGTTGCTCCTATTGGTTTTAATTTTTACTTGCAACATCACTAATGTGAAAATATGTTTAATAGGAATGTAAATGTATAGCCTATATCAGATTGTGTGCTGTCTTGTGGAGGGTGGTGGGGAGGAAGGGGGAGAAAAATTTTAAACTCAAAAGCATATGGAAGCGATTGTTGATAAATCAAAATAAATTAATAAAATTTAAAAAAAGAAAAGTTTTTGCACAAAGCCAATGCAACCAAGAAGGAAAGTAGAAAATTGGGAAAGAATTTTTACAACCAGTCTCCCTAATAAGGGCCTCATTTCTAAAATATATAGAGAATTTATAAGAATACAAGTCATTCTCCAATTGATGATAGTCAAAGGATATGAACAGGCAGTTCTCAGATGAAGAAATTAAAGCCATCTATAGTCATATGAAAAAAATGCTCTGAATCACTATTGATTAGAGAAATGCAAATCAAAACAACTCAGAGGTACCACATCACACCTATCAGACTGGCCAACATGACAAAACAGGAAAATGATAAACGTTGGAGAAGATGTGGGAAAATTGGAACACTAATGCATTGCTGGTGAAGTTGGAAAGCAATTTGGAACTATGCCCAAAGGGCTATCAAAATGTGCATACCCTTTGACTCATCATTACCACTTCTAGGGCTATATTCCAGAGAGATCATACAAATGGGAAAAGGACCCACATATACAAAAATATTTACAGCAGCTCTTTTTTGTGGTGGCAAAGAATTGGAAATTGAGGGGATGCCTATCAATTGGGGAATGGCTGAACAAGTTGTGGTATATGAATGTAATGGAATACTATTGTGCTATAAGAAATGATGAGCAGGCAGACTTCAGAAAAACCTCATGATGGAAAATGCTATCCACATCCAAAGAAAGAACTATGGCGTTTGAATGAAGATCAAAGCATACTATTTGCTATTTTTTTTCCCTTCTGTTGTGTCTTGTTTCATCTTTCTGGTGGTTCCTCCTATTGGTTCCAATTCTTCCTTACAACATCACTAATGTGAAAATATGTTTAATCGGAATGTATATGTATAGCCAATATCTGATTGCACGCCATCTAGGGGAGGAAGATGGGGAGGGAGAGAGAGAAAAATTTAAAACTCAAAAGCTTATGGAAGTGATTGCTGATAATTCAAAACAAACAAATAAATAATTAATAAGGGGGGAAAATGACCATACGGGGTGAACCACTGACTGTGGGAATCAACAATTGGCCTCTAGTTATATTGTTCTTTAATAAATGAGGTTCCCAGTGGGGGGAAAAAATTATGCTCTCAAATTTTTTTTTGGTATCACTGTCACTTCCCATTGACTTCTCTACCTCCCTCCATAGAACCCCCTCTTGTAACAAATGAGTACAGTCAAGGGAAACATGTCTGAAAATATGTGCCCTATTCCTGCATTTACTGTCTACCATTCCTGTGTTGAAGGGCAAGAGGCTTAGTTCACCATGACTTCCTCTGAAGTAATGATTGATCATTGCATTTCTCAGAATTCTGAAGTCTTTCATTGTCGATTTCTTTCACATCATTGTAGCAGTCATTGTATAGTAAATTTGTGCAGTAAAGTTCTCTTGATCCTGATTTCTTCCTCTGCCTAAGCTCTTAGGGGTTTTTTCTTTTTTTGCTTTTAAGTGACTTGCCCCTGAGCTGCCCCCCTCTTGCAAATCTTTTCAGATTTCTTTGTTCCCTTTTATTTGTCACTTCTTAGAGTACAATATGGCAGAATTAAGAGAGGAATTTACAGTCACCACAATAATATAAGGAGAAACAACTTACTATTCTTAGTATAGGTGGTGTTTGTTTTCAGTTGCAGAGATATGAACTAGAGTTGCACAATGAGACATATACTTTCACATGGTCAATGTGTTGGGTTTGTTTTTTTTTTGCTTATCATTTGGTACAAGGGAAAGTTTCTATGAAGGGCTTGAGTCTGTGGGTAGTAATAGGGGTGCAAGGGAAAAAAACCCAGTAAAACATTAAAAAAATACATAGAAGAAAAGAAGGACTAGTTTAGAAAGGGACACAAACAAGGCACTGTTACCATTGTGTTGAATTTGTATTTTTTTTATAAAACAAACAATTTCATAGTTTCATATACAAACATTTTTTGTGTACTAAAAAGTTCATGTTGATTACTAATGTTCATAATGATTAAAAAGAAAAAGTAGATCAATGAACTAAGTATGCATTTTGAAACTAAAAAATCAACAAGTTAACCTCAACATGTGCCCAAAAGAACTCTTGAAAACTGGAGGTGACAGATAAAATGGAAAGGTGAAAGTTTAATTGATAAAACAGCTGTTTTTTTCCTTTAAAATAATAGATAAAACATTAGCTTGTGATTTTTTTAAAAGAGGAATATTAAGTTGCCAAAATAAAAAATTAACAAGGTGAATTCAGAATAGGGGAGAAAATAATTATCAGAAATTACTATACACAATTACATGACAGCCAAACTGAAAATTTAAAAGAAATGGATGCTTAGCTGCTAAAATACAAAATATCAAATTAGTAAAAACAAGCAATAGAACTATTACCTCCATCTCAGAAAAATCAAGCAATCCATATTGAAGTACTGGACACCCCCCCCACCCCCACCCCCGCAGACCAGATGGATTTATAAGATAATTCACTTGAACTTTAAAAGAGCAATGAATATCTGACCCAACAAGGCACTCAAAATTCTTTTATGGCCTTAGGACTAGCTTCTTGAAGTCTCTGCCAACACAATTAAAAGCTTTGTGTGGTCCTATCAAATTGGAAGGACTTTAAACATGGGTCCCGTGATGACCTCTAGGTTTCTTGTCCAAGCACTACTAGTCTACGTAAGTTCAGAGAAACTCATCCCAAAAAATTCCCCTCAGATCAATGATCATGTACAACTCTCAAAGACCATGTACTAAGTTGCAAAGGGCTTGTAGTTTGAGTTTTAGGGAGTATCCACACTGACAGAACTAGGGATTCTCAAAGAATAAACATTTTATCCCTTCTTTAGCACAGTGCCTTTTTTAAAGTAGTGACTTTATACTTTAATTGTTTGAAATTCAAATGAAATTCAATGAAATTGAAATGTTTGTTGAATCAAAGAGAAAGGGAATGGGAACAGAAAATGGCTTTTTGATAACAGGAAAAAAATTAAACTTAAAAAGGCATTAAAAACCTAGCCAGTTCATAAAGTAGATGAGCTAAAAGCCTTAGTCTTGAGCCTGTGTTTATGACATTATCGACAACAGCAAAAGAGGAGGAGCAGGGTCTGAATGGGAGCAAGAAAAAGGGAGCCATTCTTAAATTAGAGACATGCAAGCATTTGTCTTGTTATGGGTGGGCAAAGTCAGGTTTGGGCTATTTGTGAGAAAACAGAGTATTCTCTCATTTTTGGTGGAAATTGTCCTTATAACTTGGCTTTAAAGGGTTTAGTTTAGCATCTGGTCCTACCTCCTCGTATGTCAAAGACGAGGAAACTGAAGCTCAGGGGAGAGCGCCGTAATTTACAAAGGGGCAGGTAGGTCCAAACCCCGGTCCTCTGACCAGGCGGCCATCCCTAGGCTTCTTCCCCATTAGACTGCCCCCTTCCCTTCCCCTTCCTTCCCTCCTTCCCTCTTTCCTTCCTTCCTTCCTTCCTTCCTTCCTTCCTTCCTTCCTTCCTTCCTTCCTTCCTTCCTTCCTTCCTTCCTTCCTTCCTTCCTTCCTTCCTTCCTTCCTTCCTTCCTTCCTTCCTTCCTTCCTTCCTTCCGTCCTGTTTGCCTTCCAAAAAGCAAACGAGACGCCGACACCTCCCGGGCTCCTAGAGCGCAGCCGGAAGTTGCTGTAGAGCCAGGGATGACCGGCACCCACTTCCGGTCAGCCATTGTTCTTTTTATCCTCTCCTGAATGGCGGAGGTCTACTGTCTTCTGCCCTGCCCTTTCCTCTCCCTCCCCGTCGGGACCGTGGAGGTCGCTCAGTCGCTGTTCCCTGTAAGTGTGGGCCCGGGTCCCAGGGAAGGGGGCAGGCTGCAGTGAGGGGGCGTCGTCAGGCTGTGCGGCTTCCATCCTGGCCTTCAGGGGGCGGGTCGAATCACTCCCTCCTCCTACCGCCCCCCCATTGGAGTGGGGTGGGGAGGAACTGAAGGAGGGCGGGGGAGGAGCCCCCGCAGGGGCTGCTGGGAGAGCCACGCTCTAGCTCTAGCCCCACCCCCGCCCCCTCTCCCTCCTCCGGGACCTTAGGTGGAGGCGGGCTTGGGGTGGGTGCGGAGGGACTGACTTCCCGCGTTCTCACGTGTTCACCCCCAGGGACCACAGAAACCGACGTTGTCCTTCACGCTGCCTCCAGTCCTTTGTGGGATCAGAGGGAATCTGTGTTGTGTGTTTTGTAAACCTTGAAGTCGATTTTACGTAGACGTCAGCTGTTATAATTATTACCTGGCCAAAGTAGCTTTACGGAAGTCAATCAAAGAAAGGCAAAAAACTGCATTCAAGGAGCTCACAGTCTAACGAAAGAGACAAAATGCAGACAACGGTACAGACGAGCGTTATATACGGGATGAATTGGAGATAATCGGTAGAGGGAAGACACCAACATTAAAGGAGATTAGGATGGGATTTTGTCTGGGATTTAAGAGATGAGCAGGAAGGATAGTCTAGACTAGGGGAGCAGCCACTGAAAAGCCTGGAGTTTCTCAGTGGGTGAAGGAGGGGCAGGAGAGAGGGAGAGAATTCAGAGCTCAAATTTTCCCCGAAATGAATGTTAAAAATAAATAGTTTATTTTGAAAAGAAAATGCCAGGAGTCTGGAGTTGACTTGGAACAGCAGGGAGACCAGTGTTACTATAGGCAGAATACTTGGAAGGGAGTGGGGTAGAAGAAGACTGAAAGGGTAGGAGGAGGCCAGGTTGTGAAGGACTTTGAATGCCAAACAGGATTTTAGCCACTGGAGTTTTCTGAGCACGAGGGTGACATGTCAGGTCATCATCCTTTTAAAATCAGCCCCTCCTTTTCTTGACTTCTCTGTTTCAATTACTGGTATCTCCTTACACTTTGGGAAGATTAATTTGAGAGCTGAGTGGAGGATGGATTGGAGTGGGGAGAGACTTGAAGCATTTTCTAAAGTTTGTACTAGAGGGCACCAGGTAATAGATTTCTTGGGCTGTAGAGCCAGAAAGATGTGTTTCTGAGATCACCAAGCTTTAAGCCTCTGTGGCAGTGTGCAAGCTAAAGCAGTTTTTAAATAATTAAAAACAAGGGGAAAAAAAAGACTAATGTGACAGAGTATGGGATCTGGACACTTTCCCCACTTGGATTTTCCCACGAATTTCAAGAACCCAGTCCCTGAACCCAGATCGTTGGCAGTTTGTCTGAGGCATCAGGCTCGTCCCAGTATAATCCTTTCAACTGTCCTTTCTTTGTGGCTCCTGACCCCAGTCCAACCCTTTATTCTGTTACCTTTGACCCCGTTCCTGAAATTTCCCATACATTTCAGTCACTGGTGCCTCCACCCAAGGCATCTGGCCACCCCAACCTACCTTGAGTACTTAATTAGTTTACTTGACACTTCTTATTCCCATCCAAATCTTCCCACAATATTTTTCCCTGTAAAAACATCAGTCTTGTCCCTATCAAATTTGAAGACTCACTAGGAATCTCTCCCACTTCAACCTGTATTTTAAAAAACTGACTACTTGGACTAAAAGAAGGCTTGAGTGGTTGAATTCTTTCAAGGCAGACCCAAACCCTTTACCCTTGCATTTCAGGGCTCTGAAGACCCTTACACCTCAACAAATGCATCAGATAAATTACATTTTCTAGTAAGATCAAACTGACAAGGAAGATCAATTGAGAGAAAGGTTTTGAATTTTTAGTACTGGGTATTTTGGGGTTCCCTGAACCTGGATTCCCCAACTATTTCAGATGGCCTAAGGGAACTCAATTCAGTAGATATTTGGTGAGTACCTACAACAGGCAAGTAACTTGTAGGATTTGATGAATAAGAAGAGGAAGAGGAGATGACAGGTCTCTGCTTCCAAGAACTTAAATTTTAAAAACAGAAACAAAAAACAAAAACAATACTTAAGGCAGCAAGGTGGTGCAGTGGATAGAGCTCCAGCCTTAGAATCAGGAGGACCTGAGTTCAAATCTGGCCTCAGACACTTGACACTTACTAGCTGTGTGACCCTGGGCAAGTCACTTAACCCCCTCCCCCGTTGTCTCACCAAAAAAACAAAAAGAAAGAACTTAAATTTTATGGGGGACTTATGTTTTGTACACAAATAAATGTAAAATGACAGAATATAATAACTATAGGAAACTATAAGGTATAATGAGAATGTAGAAGTGGTAGAGATAATTTTCTACTGCAGTGAACCTGGGAAATCCTGAGGGAAGAAGTAGCATTTGAGGGCCAATTTGTTTTAATATTTTTTTAATTTGCTTATTTTAAGTTTTCAACATTCACTTCCACAAGATTTTGAGTTCCAAATTTTCTCCCCATCTCTCCCCCCACCCCAAGATGGCATGCATTCTGTATACCCCTTCCTCTAATCTACCCTCCCTTCTGTCTTGAGCTTCAGTTTGAAGAGTAGTGGTGGACTTGCCTTATGGTGGCCTGGGAATGGAATGAAAAAGTATTTAGTTAACTCTTATTCTGTGCTAAGCACTAGGAATACAAATAGAAACTTGAGACAGTCCTTACTCTGAAGGAGCTCACATTCTAACTCCAGGGGACAGCACCTCAAGGATGCCCAAATAATATTATTTTTCCTTCCAGTGAAGATACTTTGTTAGCCTGGACCTGAACTTTCTGTCTCTTGGTTATTTCTCAATGTTTACTGTGATTTCTGACATATCTGTAGGTAAAGTCACCCTGGGCCTGAGATATTCAAGACAAAGTTCTGAGACTAGAGGTAGAATCAGGGACTTTGGCTGATTGAGTTTCAGCAGCAGCCAAGTTCTGGTGAGAGGCTGTGATGACTGCAGAGGTGAGGAAAGCCATGTGTCTGGCTCCTCAACTCTTGGGCGTCCAGAAGAAGAGGGACAAATCCCGGGGACCAGGATCAAGCCTGCAGCAGGACAGCCAGATCAGCTGTGAAGTCTTTCGGCAACACTTTCGGCAGCTGTGTTACCATGACACCTCTGGGCCCCAGGAGGCCCTGAGCCAACTGCGTGACCTTTGTGGACGCTGGTTGAGGCCAGACATGAACACAAAGATGCAGATCCTGGAGCTGCTGGTGCTGGAGCAGTTCATCACCATCCTGCCTGGGGAGATGCGCGCCTGGGTGCAGCTGCATCGTCCAGAAAGTGGAGAGGAGGCAGTGGCCATGGTGGAGGACTTCCAGAGACACCTTAATGGACTGGGACGGAAGGTGAGAAGTAGAACCATTCATGGCAGAGTTAGGGTGTAGTCCAGAACTGCTTTCTTAGCAGGTGAAACTACCTTAAAAACAGGAGCCCTCAGTAACCATGGCTTGAAGACATTTTGCCTTCAGGTTTTCTAGAGCAGCTGCATGTCTTAGTCATAAAACCTATATTTGGGTCCCAGCTGTGTCACTTAGCTGTGTATCCTTGAGGAAGCTACACCTCATTTTGTTCTCATTCATCTCTCTATTTATGTTATATTGCATTTTTATTTATTTTGTTAAACATTTCTTAATGACATTTATAAACATTTAATTGTTAAGTTTTTTAAAACTTTATTTTCAGTTCCAAATTTTCTCCCTCCCTCCATCCTCCCTCCCCCATTTAGAAGGCAAGAAATATGATACCCATTCTACATATGAAGTCATGCAAAACACATTTCCACATTAGCTATTTTTAAAATGAGGAGAGTAATACTTTTGTTATCCGCTTTGTAAGATCAAAGTGGTAAGTGCCTAAAACTCTTCATAATATAAGCAGTAGTTATTATGCATAGGAAATGGTTCTTGTAGTAGCTGACATTCCCAGACTCATAGCTACAGAAGCATCATATAGCCAATTTAGCTTAGATATCGTAATTTCCAAAGTAGGAGATTTCACAGTCTGTCTGGAAATGGATGTCTGTGCTTTTATAACAAGTGATAGTACTACCACCGTACATTTGGATAGGAATTTATTTTCACTGAAGACAGTGTGGTGTTTTGAAAAGAATTGTGATATTAATTAAAAACATTTGGGTTCTTGTCTGTGCTATTAACAGTTCCTAGCTGTGTAATCTTTAATAAGTCTCTTAATGTCTCTGAGTCTCCATTTTTTAAAAATCTGTAAAATGGCAATAATCTTGTTGTCCCTATGTCATAGGACATCATAGGGCTAGGAGGAATTTTAAGAATTATCTGTTCCAAGCCTTTTGTGCTATAAAGCTCAGAAAGATTATGACTCATGAGGATAGTGACTGGTAAGGCTTGAAGTAGTGTCAAAATGGTACCTATTTGCAATTATTTTGTTCTCACCCAGACACTGTGAAGTGGACAGGAGTAGTATATTACCTCTGTTTTGTAGAAGTAACTGGGAATTAGGTGGCAAGACTCATTAGTGGCTAAAAGTGGGACTGATGATAACATCTGGCCTTTATATAGCACTGTAAGGTTTGGAAAGTACTATGAACATTAGCTCATTAGTTTATATGGGGGGGAAAGGATCAAAGAAGGGACAGGACATATGTTTGGGGTGGGCTGACAGTAGGGGGACACATTGCCCCATCTTTCTTATTCCTCTTGTTTTCTCTGTGTAGGAGAATGACCTTTGCATTAGACATGACAAAACAAAAATGGTTGACAAAGAGTTGATGCCCAAGATAAGTAAGGAGACAGTGAGAAAACACCCAGTTGCCCTTGATGAATTCTAACCTTGCTGAAATTGAGCTGAACTATGTCCTTGGACGCTGAAAGCACTGGCAGATGTGATTGCTGAGCCACTGTCAGTAATATTTGAAAGATTGTGGACAAAGGGAGACACACCACAAGGTTGGAGAAGGGAAAGTGTCCTCATCTTTCAAAAGGGAAGAAAACAGACTTGATAGTATAGGTCACTGAGCTTGACTTTGACTCCTGGGAAAATTCTAGAATGAATCATTAAGTCCTGATCATTGGCAGACATCTATAAAGAGGGATGGTCATTTCAGAGAGCTAGCTGGCGTGACTTTATCCAGAACTGGCCATGCTAGACTCATCTCATTTCCTTTTTTGACCAGATTACAAAACTAGTAGATGAGGATATGCTGTGCATGTCTGAGCAGGATTGTATTCAGGCTTTTGATAACTATCTCACCCTGTTCTTGTGGAGAGGCCAGTTAGTATGAATAATGAATCCCCTGAAGTGTTCACATGGATTCTCATTTGCACTGTGATGTATGATTATGTAAAATATGGTATTTGGTTTCAGCCCAATGGAAGTATACAGTGTGAATTTGAATAATGCCGTCACTTCAAGGGGTTCATTATTCCAGCTAAACACAGCACCTAGCAGTAGTAGATGATGATGCAGTTTGATCATTTCAGAGCTGGTTGGATGGCTGGCCTCAGACTAGTTGGTTATAGTTAATTGTCATCATGGCAGGAGGTCTCCACTGAAATACCCCATCAAATGAGCCTGTGCTCTTTGACATTTTAATTAATGACTTGGATGCAGCCATAGGAGGCTTATCAAGCTTGCTGATGATGCAAAAGCTAAGAAAGATAGATGACAGAGTTAGGATGCAGAAAGATCGTGACAGGCTAGAACACTGGGCTGAATCTAATGGTAATTCAGTGGGGATATTGTAAAGTCTTGCGTGTGAATGCATGTTAAATTTCACGAATACTGGGTTGAGGAGACATAGTTAGAAGTTGTTCTGAAAAAGGTCTGTGGATTTGAGTGGACTTGATGCTGTGGCAGCCAGAATTCTGGGCTTGGTTGAATGGGGCCTAGCCTCCAGGAAAAGAGAGCTGGCAGTGCACTGGATTCTGGCCTCTACCAGCTGACTTCTCCCTTCTTGGGTTCAGGTCTGGATGCCACATTTTAAGAAGGCTGTTGATATTCTGGGGAGTTTCCAGAGAAGGGCAGTGAGCCAGAAGAGCAGAGGGCCGCTAGTAGTGAGGGCCTCCCCGGGAGGGTGAATTGGTCCAGGGCTAGCCCATGTCCTAGGAGAGTCAGTTGGAGGCAATGGAGATGATTCGCCTGGGGAAGAGAAGACTCAAGATTTCATGGCGTGCTGGGCTTAGAGCCAGGAGGACCTGGTTTAAAATCCTGCCTCTGACACCAGCTGCGTGACCATGAGCAGGTCACTTAACATTTCAGCCTTGGTTTCTTCATCTGTAAACTTAGGGGCAGCTAGGAAGAGCAGTGGATAGAGCACCAGGCCTGGAGTCAGAACACCTGAGTGTGACTCTGACCTTAGACACTTCCTAGCTGTGTGACCTGGGCAAGTCACTTCACTTCTGTTTGCCTCAGTTTCCTGGTCTGTAAAATGGGGATAATCATAGCACCTACCTGCCAGGGTTGTCATGAGGATCAAATGAGATGGTAATTGTAGAGTGCTCAGTACAGTATCTGGCACATGGTAAGTGCTGTTTGAGTGTTAGCCATTGTTGTTATCATTGGGTGGTGTCTCTTCCATCCCCAGATCTGTCGTCTTTGGACACTACAGCCATCTTCAGGTATTTGGAAAGATCATGGAGAAGCCATCAGACCTTTTCTGTCTAGCCCCAGAGGTCAGAACCAGGGACCATGGGGGGAAGTTTGGTGTTAGGAGAAATCCAACAGTTCACTGTCCAGATGTGGAACGTGGGCAGAGGCTGGGTGACACCCCTTGTGGGGTGTGTTCTAGTTGGGATTCCTTCATGTATGTGTTGAACTTGATTTCTGCTGAGGTCCCTTTGAGTTCTTAGATTTGATGTGACGTGAGTAATTCTGTGGAGAGAGCTCCTAAGGAGTTGTCGCTGTTGTGCAGACCAAGCAGCTGAGGTTCAAAGAGATTAAGTGAATGTCAGAGGGGAAATGTGGAAGTAGGTCCTCCTGACTCTAAAGACCAGTGCTCACTGGGCCACATCATTGCCGGAAACCAGAGGTTCTGACTCCCACACAAGATATTTTTCCATTCTAGAAAACCAATATGTGGTATATTCTTAACTCACCAATGCAAAGATTTCTTAAAACGTTAAAACAAAATTCTTTTAATGTTTCCAAGTTCAAAGAGAGTTGGTTTAGTTTAGAAGCACGGAAATGTCCCTTCCTTCCTTCCATCTTTCTCAGGAAGAAGCACTCACATTTGTTATTTGCAGCAAGTTTTGCCAAACATGTTTCTTTTTGTTGTTCAGTTGTTTTCAGTCATTCTGACTCTTTGTGACCCCATTTGGGGTTTTCTTGGCCGAGAAACTTGCGTGGTTTGCTTTTCATTCTCTAGCTCATTTTAAAGATGAGGAACAGAGGCAAACAGGGTTAAGTGACTTGCCCAGAGTTACTCAGCTAGTAAGTGTCTGAGGCAGTATTTGAACTCAGGTCTTTCTGACCCCAGGCCTGGTGCTCTTTCCTCTACACCACCAAACATACAGTAATGTGATTGGAGCAAGGCTCCAGGGAGCAACTAGATCCAGAAAATAGGGTAAGAAGCTAGAACAAAGTGTTTAGTTTTTTTTGTATTTGATTATCCAGTAAATATGTGGTAGAGAAGAGATCATATAGATAAGCACCCACATATATATGTAATAATGAAATTTGATCACTTCAGACATGGTTTGATGGCTGGCCTCAGAGCAGTTGATTATGGTTTGGAGTCATCAAGGCACTTTGACTTGGCCTGCCCACAAATGGCCCATTCAGGTATCTGTCAGGAGTCCAGGTGACTTCTCTGAATGCCTGGACCCCTCTTGCTAAATAGCTCTACATGACTCTGCTCTTCTGCTGTGTGTTATCTCTTCCACACCCACTTAGAATGTCCACCAGGAGATGTACACACATCCTCCCCACCATTAGTAAAGAGTTGAGCCCTGAAATCATACTTAGAACATCAAGAGCTTGTTGTTTCAGGAATTGGTGACATTTGAGGATATATCAGTAGACTTCGCCAAGAAGGAATGGAAGACTTCAGCACCTGCTCAGAGGGCCTTCTTTCGAGATTTGATGCTGGAGAATTATCGGGATGTAGTATCACTAGGTAATGATTCTATTGGCTTACCTCAAAATCTTTATTTTGGGGCTTTCTCTTGCTTCATGCCTGTTGCTAAATAAAGAGTTTCTGTCAATTCTGCTAAGGGTTAATAGGAATCAGAAAGTTCTAAACCTCTATTTCCAAGGCTTTTCAGGTCTATAGGGAAGTAATAATAGGAAATTATTTTTTAAAGCTTTCTGTATGTAAAAATTTATTGATCCTTTGGAAGCTTTAATTTATACATCAGTGGTTTGACATTCTCTATCCTCATCCCTTCCTAAAGACCTCTTTAGGGTACCCTTTCTCAGCTTTTCTAAGCTAAATATTTGCCCCTAGAATAGTTTGCTATTGATTTCTTCCTACCTAATTAGGAAGGAGAGAATAAAATAAGCCAATTTTTTCCTTTTTTTTAATTTTTAAGATGCTTTTAAAACTTTGGGTTACAAATTTTCTCCCTTCCTCCCTCCTTACTCACCTTCATTGAAAAGGCAAGCATCTTAATACAGGTTATAGATGTGTAGTCATGCAAAACACTTCCATAGTAGTCATGTTGTGGAAAACTGAGTATATTTCCCTTCATCCTATCCTACCCCCCATTTATTCTATTCTCTCTTTTGACCCTGTCCCTCCTCAGAAGTATTTGCTTCTGATTATCGCATCCCCCAATCTGCCCTCCCCTCTATCAACCCCCTACTCTCTTGTCCCCTTCCCCCCTTATTTTCCTGTAGGGTAAGATAGATTTCCATACCCCATAGTGTATATTATTCCCTCCTTAAGCCAAATCCTATGAGAATAGGATTCACTCATTCCTTCTTAACTTCCCCCATTTCTCTTCCACTGTAAAAGCCTTTTCTTGTCTGTTTCATGTGAGATAATTTACCCCATTCTACTTCTTCTTCTTTCCTTCTCCCAGTATAATCCTCTCTCACCCCTCAATTTTATTTTCCAGATATCACCCCTTCATCTTCAACTCAGCCTGAGCCCTCTATCTATCTATCTATCTGTACATACATACATACATATAATTTTTTTCCCTCCCACTACCGTAATACTGACAAAGGACTCATGAATTACAAATATCATCTTTCCATGCAGGAATGTAAACAGTTCAACCTTAATAAGTCTCTTATGATTTCTCTTTCCTGTTTACCTCTTAATGTTTCATTTGAGTCTTATATTTGAAAGTCAAATTTTATATTCAGCTCTGGTCTTTTCCTTAGGAATGCTTGAAAGTCCCTTATTTCATTGAATGACCAGTTTTTACCCTGAAGGATTATACTCAGTTTTGTTGGGTAGGTGATTCTTGGTTGTAATCCTGTCTCCTTTGCCCTCCAGAATATTATATTCCGTGCCCTGCGGTCCTTTAATGTAGAAGCTGCTAAATCTTGTGTTATCCTGATTGTATTTCCACCATACTTGAATTATTTCTTTCTGGCTGCTTGTAATATTTTCTCCTTGACCTGGGAATTATGGAATTTGGCTGCAATTCCTAGGCGTTTTCCTTTAGGGATCTCTTTCAGGAGGAGATCTGTGGATTCTTTCAATTTCTATTTTGCCCTCTGGTTCTAAAATATCAGGGCAGTTTTCCTTGATAATTTCTTGAAAGATGATGTCTAGGCTATTTTTTTGATCATGGCTTTCAGATAGTCCAATAATTTTTAAGTTCTCTCCCCTGGATCTATTTTCCAGGTCAGTTGTTTTTCCAATGAGATATTTCACATTCTCTTCTGTTTTTTCATTCTTTTGGATTAGTTTTACAGTGCCTTGATTTCTCATATAGTCACTAGCTTCCAATTGCTCCATTCTAATTTTTAAGGAAGTATTTTCTTCAGTAAGCTTTTAGACTTCCTTTTCCATTTGGCCAGTTTTGCTTTTTAGGGCATTCTTCTCCTCATTGGGTTTTTGGACTTCTTTTGCCATTTGGGTTAGGCTATTTTTTAAGGTGTTATTTTCTTCAGTATTTTTTGGGGTCTCCTTTTAGCATCACTCTCAGTTGTTCCTCTGCTTCTCTTACTTGCTTCTCAAAATTCTTTTTGAGCTCTTCCATGGCCTGGGACCAATTCATATTTTTCTTGGAGGCTTTGGATGTAGGAGCTTTGGCTTCATTGTCTTCTTCTAGTTGTATGTTTTGATCTTTGTCACCAAAGTAAGATAGTATAGTCTGATTCTTTTTGAGCTGCTTGCTTATGATTCCAGCCAGTTACCTGAGTTTTAAACTCTTTGTTAATGTAGGGGTCTGTTTCCAGTGTGGAGAATGTACTGTCCCAAACTTCAGGGGTTTTGTGCAGCTCTTTTCAGAGATAATTCTAGGGACCTTTAAATTTTCAGTCATTCCAAGGTGCAAAGTGTTTACTCCTTTCCTGTCCTGTGCTTTGCTCTCTGAGTGACCACAAGCACTCTTTTTTGTCTTGGAACTGTGAGGAGGATTTGCTCTTCACAGCCACTACAAGCTTCACCACGCCAGTGCTCCTCCTCGCCCCGGGATCACCACCCGAACTGTGACCCAGATGCAAGCAATGGGCAAAGCAAGAGAATCCTGCACCAGCAGAGAGATCCCTGCAATCCCCCTCTGATCAGCCATTCGATTCCCCCTCAGTCTGTGGGTGGGAAGCTCAAGAGGCAGCTACAGCCCTGGGGGTGAGCTCTGGGAATGGGGCTGGGACCCTGAGCTTCTCTCTCACCGCAGAAACAGACTTTTCCCACTGACCTTCTGAATTGTCTTTGACGTTCGTGGGTTGAGAAGTCTGGAAACCACTACAGCTGCCTGTGATTCAGTCCTCTGAGGCCTGCTCCAGGTTTGCTGTGGCCTGCGCGCCCACACCAAATTGAGTTCCTCTCCCAGCCTGGCGCGATAGACCTTTCTGATTAACCGTCTAGGTTGTCTTGGGCTGGAAGTTTGTTTCACTTTGTCTTTTTGTGGGTTCTGCTGCTTTAGAATTTTTTAGAGCCATTTTTTATAGGTATTTGGAGGGATTTTGGGGAGAGCTCAAGCAAGTCACTGTTTTTACTCTGCCATCTTGGCTCCACCCCCCAAAATAAGCCAATTTTGGATCTAGTTCTAAATCACTAGATTCTGCTTCAGTCTTCTTGGTTTCCAAGTCCCCCGTCTGAGGGTCATACACTTCCCTCTTCATTTCTCTGGGCATTTAACTGCCTTCCCTAGATGTTCTTTCCAGACGTAGGGATTAAATGGATATCTATGACTCTTCTAATTATTATTCAGTCTCATTTTCTTCTGCACAAGCAGGATTTCCATTTTCGAAACCTACAGGGATCTCCCGGAGAGAGGAAGAACCATGGGGCCTAAATCGTCAGGGACCTCTGGACTTGGAAGGTGGCAGAAGCACCTGTACAGGTAAGTGAGAGAGGACTGTCCTATTCTTACTCCTTTATATCTTCACATTTACTTAGTTATTGAATTTTTTTATTTTTCTGGATCAGATGTGATTTCATTAGCATAAAGAACTCCCAATTAGGAAACTGTCTACTAATACAAGGTAATACCTTCTTTGCTCAGAGTCTTTGAGAGTTGCCTGTGGCACTGAGAGATTGTGGTTTGTCCACTCCCACACAGTCAGTAGGTGTCAGAAGTAAGACTTGCAGCCAGATGTTATTGACTCAGAAACAGCTGTCCACATCCACAATGCTTGTCTGCCTCTTATAAACCTAACCAACAACAAAGACAGATAAATAAGTATGTGTGTGTGTGTGTGTAAAATTAGGAATAAAACTGTTTATGCCACCCTCTGCATTTGACAAAGTAGATTTGAATTAATTAACAGTCAAAAATTGAGTCTGGTGTCTTTTTGAAAGTCAATCTCAAATTCAGATATTTTTGGTGCAGTGTGTGTGCTCACGTGACACACACACACACATAATGAGACCATTCCCTAGTAGATAGAGCTGACTTTGGAGTTAGAAAAGGAAGCCTTGGCTCAGGTGTGCCCAGGGTTAGGCTGAGTGTCTTATACTTATCCAGGGATGGAGAGCCTGCCTCAGAGTTACGAGAACCTGAGTTCAAGACATACTCTTTGGACACATACTGACTGTGGTCTTGTCAAGACTTTTAACCATTATCTAATATCTAAATTATGCATTATCTAATATCTAAATATTTCTGTAGAGATAGATATAGGAATTTAGAACTGCTCTAATGATTTTGCTTTTATTGCTTTGCATCCCTTAATATAGATCTATGTTTCCTTTTCTGCTTCATATGTATCATTTTTATGACACTTTAATAGTCTGTTATATTAATGCCTCATAACTTATTCAGACATTACCCATTTAGTACATTTAAGTTGCTTCCAAGTTTTTACTATTACAAATAAGGAAGTTGTAAATATTTTTTTACAGATAGATCCTTTCCATGCTGTCTCTTCCCCTTTTGCTGCACTATATAGAATGTTATGATTTTTTTCTGTTTTCTACTGTAATGGCTATTGTCTTCATTTGTTAAAATGTTGAAAGTACATTATTGAGAAATGTCATAGCCCATAAAATCTTAGAATCTGTCAACTGGGAGACAGTTTGGTCTAGTGGGATGAGTAGCCAACTTGGAGTTAAAGGACCTGATTTTGATTCCAGCTGCGTTTCTTAGACAAGCTATTCTCCCTAGGCCTCAGACTGCCCATCTATAAAATGAAGGTAGAGGAGTATATGGTTTCTAAGTTCTCTTCTGCCTCTAAATCTTATGGCCCTTTTCTGATTTACAAGTCCCTTTCATATTTCCCAAATAGTCTCTATTTGAACACCCCTAGTGAAGGGAATTTCATTACCTTTTAAGGCAGCTCATTCCATATAGCCCTCAGGTGAGAGGTAGATGTGAGAGTCAAATGAGATAATATTTGTAAAATGCTTAACATAGTGCCTGGCACATAGTAGGCACTATATCTTTGCTAGCTATGATTATTATTATTACTGTTATTATTATCACCACCATCATTATGTGAGCAAGATATTTAATGGAAATATTCCCACACCTCCTACCCTAGTGTTGATCATCTTTTCTCATTATTCTAATGTAGTTGCATTGATTTTGTTTATGGACAAAGTTTTTGATTCTGATGCTTTTCCGTTGCATCATGCTCTGTATCTAATCCCTGTAGTTTCCTCTGTCCCACCACTGTTGACTGTCTACACCTGTTGCTGGCAATACTGTCCCTTTGTGAACAAATTAAGCCCTATTTTGCATTGTTTCTGCTGGGTCATCTCATTCTCTGACCACGTCATCGATATAAATTCTCTTTTCAGACCTATGGAATTCTTGAGTTCCTAGAGCACTTTAATATTATATGATATGATTCTGTTCCTATTGGCAGAATGTAAATGGTGACAGTTGCGTTTTTTATTTTTCAGAAGGTGATAATGTTACTGAGAATGAGGAATCCACTTCAAAGCAAGAAATTTTTGGTGAATCACAATCACATAGTAGTTTATCAGAAGGCCTCCAGAAGGATCTTTTCCAGGCATCTAAAGCTGGAGAAGGCTGTGAGAGGGAAAGCATGTTAGAGCAGCAACAAGGAGCACTCCCAGAGGAAGAAGTTAGGAGAAGTGATGGTGATTTTATGGAAGTGATAGTGCAGAATAAGAAAGTCCCTGTTGAAGAGAGAGAAGAGAAATGTAAAGACTTTTGGAAAAGTTTCAGTCTTGTCTCAAGCACTGTTACACAGGAGAAAATTCCAAGGGGACAGAAGTCTTATCAGTGTAACGAATGTGGCAAATACTTCAATAGGAGCTCACACCTTATTGGACATCAGAGAATTCACACTGGAGAGAAACCTTATGAATGTAATGAATGTGGGAAAAGCTTTAGACAGACTTCTCAGCTTATTGTACATCTGAGAATCCACACAGGTGAGAAACCCTATGAATGTAATGAGTGTGGAAAAGCTTACCGTCATAGCTCACATCTTATTCATCACCAGAGACTCCACAATGGTGAAAAACCTTATAAATGTAATGAATGTGTGAAAGCCTTCACTCAGAGCTCTCAACTTATTGATCATCAGAGAATCCATACTGGTGAGAAACCCTATGAGTGTAACATGTGTGGTGAAGCCTTTAGTCGGAGTAAAAGCCTTATTCGACATCAGATGCTTCACACTGGGGAGAAACCTTATAAGTGTAATGAATGTGGGAAAGCCTTCTGTTCTAATAGGAATCTTATTGATCACCAGAGAACTCACACTGGGGAGAAACCTTATCATTGTAATGAGTGTGGCAAGGCCTTTAGCAGGAGCAAATGCCTTATTAGACATCAGAGCCTCCATACTGGGGAAAAACCTTACAAATGCAGTGAGTGTGGGAAGACCTTCAGTCAAGGTTCTCAACTTATTGATCATGAGAGAATTCACACTGGAGAGAAACCTTTTGCATGTAGTGAGTGTGGCAAGGCATTTAGCCTGAGCAAGAGCCTTATTCGACATCAGAGACTTCATACTGGAGAGAGACCTTATAAATGCAATGATTGTGGAAAATCCTTCAATCAGAACTCACACCTTATTATACATCAGAGAATTCATACTGGGGAGAAACCCTATGAATGTAATGAATGTGGGAAGGTCTTCAGTTATAGCTCAAGTCTTTTGGTACATAAGAGAACCCACACTGGGGAGAAGCCTTATGAATGTCATGATTGTGGAAAAGCTTTTAGTGACAGCTCACAACTAATTGTGCATCAGAGAATCCACACTGGGGAGAAACCCTATGAATGTAAGGAATGTGGGAAAGCCTTCAGTCAGCGTTCAACTTTTAACCATCATCAGAGAATTCACTCTGGAGAGAAACACTCACCTTTGGTCCACTCAGTCTTTTAGATTGTGGAGCTCATGATGGAGAACAGAAGATTTCCATTGTATAAGAAAAAAACTTGTTTTTTGATGAAAACTCTAATCCTATTTCATCCAAAATCTTAAATATGTTTGCTTTAGTTTCACTGAGAGATCAGGTATAAGAATGTGGATGGTTTGGTCACAGTAGTAGAAAACTTTATCACTCATGGTTTGCTTTGTAAATATCTCAAATACATTCTTTGTTTCTGTTTTATCTCACCAAGCACAGTTTAAGCTCTGCAAGGCAAATGTCCCTTTATTGAGACTGCTCTCCTTTACTGCCTACATCAACCACTTGTTTGATTTACTTTCCTGTGTCTCTTGGCTACATGTCTGTTTCTTTCCATTTCTCCACTATTCTAGGCCAAACACTTAGAATATTTAATTAAACTTTATTAGAGTGGGTGATCCCTCCAGGTGGCCTATCTCCTGTATCAGACAGGGAGCTGCCCATATTTTGGGGTGGTATCTCCTTTCCTTCCTCCCCTCAAATACTTACTTTTCGTCTTTTTATTCCCTTCTGTTCAGGTTCTGTAAAATGGAGCCCCAAACCTATATTCTGGTAGAAACATTCTCCACTTCCTTTCTCAGACCTGGTTGGTCTTCAGTGTTTTTAAGAGTGTGCTTTATTTTTGTGTCACTACATCAGAGATCTGTGATTTTGTCTGTGACACCCATAGATTGCAACTTACCTGAAATTTAATAGACATCTTAGAGAATTTTGTGATGATCAGAAAGATTAAGTGACTTGCCCAAGAACACACAGTGTCAAGAGGCAGGATTTGAACCAGGATTTCCTGACCCCAAGTCTAGCACTGTCTACTACCATGCTTGTCATCTGACTCAACAAATGTTGATAATTTGCCATGTAATTAATTATATTTTTTACCCCAAATGGAGTGTAGGTTCTTTGATGGCAGGGACTACCCCTTTCCCACCATACTTAGGCAACAATTGACAATAAAGGTCCTCAATAAACATTTAAATATTAATATTAATACGTGATATAACTGATAGTGTGATTATCCAATGGTGGGCTCCACATCTGCATTAGACTGGGAGCATTCTGAGGGTGAATGATGTTTCTTCTTTTCTCTCCCAGGATATGTTTATGTGTGGAGGGGTCACAAGGGATAGACTGGCCTTTATGGTAAAGAAGCTTACCTTATTTTTTTATTCTTACTATTATTTTTTAAAATGTATTTACCTTATTTTATAGAGCACTTTGGATATTCTGTGTCATTGTTTCATCTTTATAACCTCAGGCACTTAATAATGATAGTTGAATTGACTAGATAAAACATGGGCCCTACTTTCATGGAGCTTATAGATTTGTAGAGGGATAAGAGATATGCACAGAACTACAGTGACCAATAGTCCATGAATAGTTCTCTAGGGAAGTAGACAGAATTGTTTGAGCCAGAGGTGTCAGGCTGACCAGCAGGCCTGCGAAATTCCCAAGTGCCTTAGAACCAAATTAAAATATAATTGAGAAAGTTTTAAGAAGATAAATAAAAATATACCCTAATGGGAACAAGTGGCTTTCTAAGTGAATATGTGGCTCACAGACAGCGATCCAGTTCTGCTTCACTTTGACACCACTGCTTTAGACAGTAGCAAAGTCAGTTAAATTTACCTTTATAGGTAATTAAGCTTAAAGATCTTTATGTTGTGGATAACTAGTACTTTTCAGATACTCTGTCTTCTATTTTTGTCAATGACTCCTGTTACAAGCTAAGCAGATGCTGATCCTGGTTTTACTTTCTCCTCTTCTTCGTTATTCCATTTTTCTTCCTCAGGGAAACAGGTGTTATTTTTCTGCTTATGTGGTGCTGTGGGCTTGTCTGTCTGCCTAGTTGGATACAAATAACATATCTATGAACAGACCAAGTTAGAGCACAGACAAAACCCTTTGTCTTCATCATTTCTGATGGCTTAAGGAGAACAGTTACTCTGCATATTGGGACTTGTTATATTTCCAGCGTGGAAATTTGTTGTGCTTGACTATACCTGTTTGTATTGGGATTTATTTTTCTTGCTTTCTTGATGTAGGGAGAGGGCGAAGGTGAGGAGAGAATATATTGTTTCATCACCACTGCTGAGACCCTAGCTTCTGCCATACTGTGATGGCTGAGAGTATGGATGGACAGATATCAAATAGGTCTGGACTCAATAGAACAGAACAGTGAGGCTTTCACCAAATGATGATGATACCCCTTGATTAGCAGTCATACCACTTTTGATCCATGGCATTTGTTGCCAAAACAAAATGTATACTAAAACCTCTTTCTTAAGATTATTTCATTTTACCCTAGAAAGCAAAACAAAGCAGTGGGTAAATGTTGCAAAGTGTCAAATTTTGCATCAGAATTGATGTCAGGAAAAGCTTCCTAATGAAGTTTTCCTAAAGTGTAATTAGGAAGAGGTTCTCCACTTTTGGAGATATTTGAATGGAGGCTGGAAACCCATTTGTTGAGTATGTTATAGCAGTTGTCCATTTGCAACTAAATCAAAAGGTTGCTTTTGTCCTACCTTCCTCCCTCTATCCAAACTGCCCCCCCCATGGCCTCATCTAAGGTACATCATTGTGGTTAGTGACCCGTATTTTCTGCACCTAAAATCAGGTCCATCACCTGTCTCTGCAGTAAATGTGGGAGTCATGTTAGCTCACTGTTTTTGGAATCATTGCCACCTCCAAGCATCAACATACATATCTCTGGATGTAGAGACTAGTACACCCACATTTTTGTGAAGTATTTGTTGTTCAGTCTGTGACTCTACTTACTTTGGGACTCTGTCTTAACGTCTGACTTGAATCAGAACTCAGAAAGTAACAGTTATCAATGGCTGCTAGGTCCATTTACTTCTGTAAGGTATTTCATTTGTAGAATGGTACAGGCTCACTCCCACATGGATACAAAATGGCCCTCAGTCCTCCTGCAGCAGTAGTAAGTGCCCCAAAAGGGAGCAGAAGGTCATACAACAGATTCTCGGGTGTGGCTGCTCTTTCACCCATTGCTCCTGATCCTACCTTTCTGGGGAACGTTCTCTACATGGTAGCTCTGTTAACTGTTTGAAGACTGCTAGTGTCAAAGGCTTATAGATTTTAAGCTCCACATCACCCCCCCAACCCCCATTTATTTTTTACCAGTTTATCTTGCTTCTCACGATAATTAAGACTGAATTGCAACAAACCTAATGCCAGAATATATTTGGGTCCCAGAAACACATTTATCCAGCTGTCTGAATTTGGGTTAATCTGGGTGTCTACAAGGCATTTTTGTTATTTAAAGAACTTGTTTTTTTTTCCTCTCTGCCTCTGTAAAACTGAACCAGAAGTAATCAAGTATCCTTTTAATTAACCTGAAGTAGTAGTGTATATTCAAGAGGATCAAAAAAAAAAATGGGGTTCATGTGTCGGCTCTGCACTTGCACCTTTGTAAGATAAAATATTTTATCAATAAATGAACAAGTTTTATTCCCAACCCTTAATAAGGATTCCTTCAAAGTATAAAGTCATTCCATTTTTATAATAAATGCTTTTATTTTGGTTAACTAACATTCAAGCAACAGACAGTTTATGAACTATCAGGCCAAATGTTGGATGGCTATCAAAATACCCCATTTCTATTACAGGATACCCCTAAGTCCAGGCCAATGACCCTTTATTTTCTAAAATAAATTTTTGATCTTTTAATACCTTTTAAGGATTGCCAGTTTAAAATATGCTCTGTAAATAATCTAAGGCTCCTGGGCCAGTTATTCTGTGTATTAAGATCCTAAAATGTACCAGCTGTAATCAGGGACGCCAACAGAACAGCTCAACAATCTCCAATAGATGTTGCATTCCCCTCAAAAGTACTGCTACTTTATAATTCATAATGCCTAATAGTTATTTATGTAACACAAGGCTCGTAGAGATTTTAACTCCTAGTTAGGTTACCTTGTTGCAGATTTTATATCATCTATATTGGTTCCCTCATTTTCCCCAAGTTTGACAAGTATATATGGGCAAGTGAAACACCCTCAACTACTATTATCCCTGTAAAGTCCATTTTAGAATAAGATCTGGCTTAGGAAACAGCAAAACACTCCAGTAACCAGTAACTTAAGGCAAAACTCAATAGATGCAAAAAAAAATCTCACCTAAAAAAAAAAACAAGCGTATGGTCCAGTATATCTTGCTCCCTTTTAATATATGAGAATGGCTAAGGCAATTACTTCAAATTAGTTGTTTTCCACATGGTTGTCTCCAGTCATTGTACAAAGACTATTGACAATACCCAGCTTCCCAACACCATGGAATATATGATTTCTATGTTATAGTTAAGGACCCTACACTCCCTTATGCCACACATAGCTTGGAGAGTCATCTACCCAGGGTATCAAATTGGATTACTGATTTTAAAAGGTGGTATCAATGACACAGTATCAAACTAAAGTAGCACAGAGTCTGACACAGGGCATGCAAGATAGATAAAATCACCCAATAATGTGAAACAACTCCAAGGCTTCAAATTGCTACCATATCCCGTCAGCACTGCCTTCCTAGAGACTGGTGTACCATGTTCACATCCTTGTATGTCTTGACAAAAGTCCATGCAAGGATAAGATGAAAAGAACATGTCATCTTCCACAAACCCAGAAGTGGAAAGCTCCCAAACCAACAACCTCTTTAACACTTGTGAATCTGCAAGAGAAAAAAATGCCTGTTATCACAACCTGCAGTGGTTCCTTAAAACTTGTTTCTGGAAGTGAAAACTACAGAGCAAGAGGGAAATCAATTAACTAACAAAAAATAAAGGTGAAAAAGTGGTCTAGAAACATTAGACATTATTACTGCACAGTAACGGTATTGTTTCCCATATGGCTTGTTTCCTCGGCCACAGTTCAAAAACCCTGAGGAGGTTTAGAATGCATAGATGTAGACAGAAAAGCATTATGGAATGGGACTGTACATCCCAGGGTAAAGCCCTATGCTCCCTTGGACCAGTCGGGCAGAACCTGCAGAGTCAACTACCCGGGGTATCTACTTTGGAATTATGTTTAAAGGGGTGACCATCAAACCAAAAGGTGATAACCGTGATCTGACGAAAGGTTCGTACGTTGTGGACAGGGCAGAGTGCTGGCCTGGCGTCAGGAAGACCCTCTGGTTTCTACACTACCTCTAAGATCAAACTCCCCAACGTAACTTTAAAGCCTTTCCCAAACTGGCTCCAAATTCTTCCCTTTTCACCTATCTAGTCCATATTGTTCATTCCATCTCTCTGCTCCTTTGCACAGGTTGCTTCTTCATGCCTCAAAAAAGCCAAGTTCTCAGATTCCACCTTAAGAATCCCAGAACTGGATGGCCTCCTAAAGTGCCTGGCACGCTGCAAAAGCTTAATACTTGTTCCTTTTCCCACGCCTCCTCTTCCCCCTCCAGCTCTAAACCTTCCACGTATGACTAGTTTTTAAAGGTGAAGGAAGCCCCTGCAGGGCTGTAAGTTTACTTCTAGCCACTGTACCCTGCTCCCCGCCCTTCCATCCGTCCCGCGCCCCCGACTCCGCAGAGTCCTGCACACAGTGAGTTATATTTCAGTCGGCTTTGCTACAGGGTTAGGTTACCGAAGGGCGTTGGCGCCCTTTGGTGGGAGCTTGGGGGCGCCGAGGCCGGAGGAGGCAGCTCAGGATGGTCCAGATCTGGCCAGGGAGGTCGCCACGCCCCCACCCTGTTCCTGCGCATGCGCGTGGCCCAGTGTTCCCTTAAAGCAAGTTCTCCTGGAAGGAGGAAGAACATGAGAGGGTGGAAACAAGGCGTGGTGGGAAGGCGGTGAAGGCAACGTCGCTGCTCAGCCATAGCTAAAATATAGCTGTAGGCTAATTTCGTGGAGAAAATTGTACTACGAACCTAAACATTCCCATTTCTACGGGACGGGGAAAGGGGGTGGAGAATGGAAGGGGGAACTCGGAAAACAGCGGCTTCGCCCAAGGGCACGTCTTGGCAGAGAGGGATGGGGTGGCTTCTGTGCACGTGCACATCTTGCGCATCTTGACCGAGGGGAGGGGCAGGTTCTGCGCAGGTGCACACCTTGGAACCTTGGCTTCCAAGGCCGGTGCTGAGCTGCGGGTTATGGGTGTCTGGGTGTTGGGAGATTTTACTGTTGAAAGCTCACCTGCCTGAGAGCTAGAGTGGTGCAAGTAAGTGTCGGAGCAGTGTTCCCTATTGACAGACGTGGCATTGAGTTGAGGGAAACGAAGCTATTCCTTCCTTTAGTCTGGTATCAGTCTGTACCAGAGCACTGACATTCAGTTCAATTCAGTAAGCATTTATTAAGTGCCTACTGTGTGCCAATCACTGTGCTGATCTCTGGGAATGTGAAGAGAAAAATGAGAACAGGTGTCCTCAAGGATCCCATTTAGGGCAGTCGTAAGTTTTTGCGCAGAACAGGGATCTGAGTGACCATTAATCCATCCTCCTCTTATTTAGAGGGGAAGAAGAGAGAACAAGTGCTTGGCTCCAAGACACAAAGGGAGTGAAGATGTTCAGGACCCCTGCCCCGCAACTTCAGTGCTCTACTCCACCCACTGACCAGTCAGACTGAAGGAGAAGCAGGCCTGGGTTGCACAGACCCTGGAGCCTTGCCCATGGTCCCTTCTGGACCAGAGTCCTGAATGCTGCCCTGCCTCCTTTTCAGAGACATGGGAGGAGCAGGCAGAAGTGACAGTCCTGGCACTCCAACCCTTTCTGTGCCCCCCTCCAATTACCTTTCATTTACTCTATTTATTTTAGGTAGTTATTTACATATTGTCAGATCAGGACTAGTTTCTCATTACAATGTGTGCTCCTTGAGAAGCAGAGACTATTTTTGGTTTTTGTTGTTTTTTAATCCCTAGCATTTAGCACAATTCCTGGTTCATATTAAGTGTTTAATGAAGACTTGTTGACCGTGATAGTATATTGCTAGTGCAGTGTGCCTGCCTGAATTTACTTGGGGTTCGGATAGCACTTACAATAATGCACACTCACACAACAAATAAGGATTATAGAATAAAGATTATATTTTATTGCTTATAAATATAGATGGAAGTTTATATACATACATCACCAAATCAGGTAGAGCACCTACATCTGGATCATGCTGCTGGGCAGTCCCGGTTCAACCTCCAGAGTCCCAATTGAAAAGGATCCTGGGCAGTGCATCCACTCCACGGGTGAGACTCCAAAGTCTGACTGGAAGAGTCCAGCTTTAAGTTCTTCAGGCAAAGAAGGCACTGTGCCAATTATGAGGCATTATTCTGTAGGAAACACATCTTTGTTATCTCAGGATGTTTGGTTACTGGGAGAGTGGCCAGCTCATCCCAGGAAGCAAAACCAAGGACAAAGCATGTGATTATGTACTTAGCACACCTGGTATCTAGCCATATGTAAGGACTCATAGAACAGGGTTAAATATTGGTCATGAAGCCTTCTTGCTAGACCTAGGCCACTGAATAGAGATGAACTTACATTTATATGTTACTCTCATTTCAGATAGATTGGCTAAACAGCTTTTCTATTCATCTGTCACCTATTGCTATGTCTAACACTAACAATATCCCACCATGTGTTTCTCTTCCTTTCCCTCTTTTATTAATCAATTACTGTGGTGGAATAGGAGCCAATTATCCCCAAACTCTGTCTTCAGTCCTTAACCATAATCATGGCTCTCTTCACATCCTCTTCTCCAACTTTTGAGAGTTCACCAAGGTTCTGTTGGAGTTACTGTCTCTTTTCTCTCTACGTTCTCTCTTTTGATAACCTCATCCGCTCCTATGGGCTTAATTATCATCTCTATGCAGATGAATCACAGATTTGTATATCCACCTCTTCCCTCACCTGACATTTAGTCCCTCATCACCAATTTCCTATCGGAATTTCCAACTTCATATGTCCAAAACAGAACTCATTATCTTTCCTCCAAAAGCCACCTTGGTTATAAATAAAGGATTTCCTAGATATAGGGATACAAATACAAGCAAATAAGGTATTTCCTTCCCTCAAGGAACTTAGATTCTAACTGAAGACAACAGAAAAATAGGTGGGGGGGGTAGTTAAAGTGTAAAGATGGCCTGGAAATGTTTTGGAGACCTCGTTCTGGGCAAGATGAAGCAAGAGCACACCCATTAGAGCCCTTTTCACCTTTGCCCTACATATCCAGTCAGATGCCAACTTTTGCTGTTTCCATCTCTCTACAAAACCTCTCATATTTTCTCTCTACTTAGTGTCTCCTCACTCCAGTCCATCAATAGTGGCAAAGTGATTTTTTAAAAGCACAGATCCAACTGTATGTTCTCCACTCAGCCACCACCCCCACCGCAGTCATGCAACTCCAATGGCTTCCTATTAGCTCTAGGATAAAATATAAATTCCTGTTAACTTTTAACGTCTTTCATAACTTGGCCTCAAACCGTACTTGTAATTTCATTGTACATTACTTGCGCCAGCCCAAATCCTGTCCAGTTT